CTATGAAGAAATTGCCAATATAAAATCCGCCATTTTGTTTCAATCACAAACTCTCGCCAATGAATCATCTTGCACAGTGCGTTAAGTTTTATAATAATAACTAGAATTATTAACTTTAAATTAATCTACTAATACAGAGTTTGGTAACTAAAACAATTATAATTATTTTCACAATTCACATTATATTTAAAATTATAATTAAGCTTATTTCATCAATCACCTTTTCCTCATCTTTATTTGATAATTGGGAGAGTGGTTCACCGTCTTTACTACCAACAGGACTAGAGTAACTGATTTCTACAGTTGAAGTATCTTTTGAAGACATTAAATGAAAGAGATTGAGGCAATATTCTCTGATTTGGGCAACACGTGGTTTATAATAATAGTTTAATTTTAATAATTATTAATTAAAATTTTTATGAGTTTTGATAAATAGGAGTAATACGGTCTCTCTGTCTCTAAAGGTTTGGTGGTTTAGATTGTGTGACACTGATCTCTTCAACACCATCAGTTCCAGCACCTACTGGAAATAATAAAAATAAATACTTAACAATTATGACATTACTTACAGATGCATTCAGATGACATCAGTAAGAATTAATACACATACAATGTACTGTAGGATGCCTTTTTTCGAGAAATAAAAATTTCGCAGATTTTGCAATTTTTTGACAATTTTTTTTTTTTGCGAATTTTTTTTCATGGCATAAATTCATGAAAATTAAATCCACAAAGTATGTTTTTAGGGAAATTTGCAAAAAAATTTTATAGCCCTCAAAAAAAGGCGCCCTATGGCAGTAATTGCTCATAGATTATTAGTATTTTCTTACCTTTATCTTTGATTGGTGAAACTTTAAGTTTAGGCTTTGTGGAGAAACGCTCTAGAAAGATGGACGAAATTCATGAACATGTACATGTAAATCTTGTAGTCATGTACGTACATGTATACAGCATAATTCTCTCTATCTCTCACTCTTTCAATTACCAGGATAACATTCTTTATCATTTTGTTTTTGCTTATTGTATACATCAACAATTGCTTGTGCCTAAATAAATAAACAAACAAACAAACAAACAAACAAACATTGATTGATATACAACATTATTATTGGTTAATTTACTTTGCTTGAACAGACAGTGTAATCTGGTTCAGTGGCTAGTTCAGTATTAGCTAAATTGTTTTTAATAGACTGAAAAGGAGAAAGAGAGTGAGAGAAGAAAAAAATAATAATGGCAATAATGATAATAATGCAAGTAATCAGGGTATTTGATAAGGAATTTGGTTGCTAATGACTGCATGTTTTTGCTTCAATTCTAAAAAATAGCTTCAAATTAATAATCTTTTTGTAAAGTCCTTGTAATTGACCTTGCATGATGGCAAACTACAATTGTCAGTTGTCAATTGCAATTGTCAACAAAAATAATAATAATAGCAACAATAATAATAATGCAAGTAATCAGGGTATTTGATAAGGAATTTGGTTGCATTTTGAGCTATTAATGACTGCATTTTTGCTCCAACTATGAAAAAGCTTCAAATTAATAATCTTTTTGTGAATTCCTTGAGCTACTGTATTTGACCCTAATGGCAAACGGCAATTGTGAGTCAATTACATGAATTAATGACAGATTTAACAAATCAATTATTGTATTTCATTAAAACTACTGATGACAACAGCAATAATAATAACAATAATAAATGAATAAAATGTACAATTATGGTAGCAATCAATGAAAAGGAAACACGGCACGATTGGTGTCAATACAATATAATCAGTAATAATTAAAATCTAATAATAATACGGATATTGCAAAACCTAACAGACATACACATACACATATAAATGCACATGTACATCCCATCCCAGACGTACGGCAGATGGACGTGCATGTGAACGACACACTATAGCCTCCGGAATCAATAAAACGACCATATTAGGTAGCGTCACTACCCACTCATCCTGACATACTGAAAACTAGTTGGCAGACGTTTGGAGGGTCTAAAGCCATTGAGGATGTGATATAATGTGATTAGGTATGGTGCTTCCTATCTCGCATTCCATGAACACATGTGTACATGTACATGTACAATGTAATATAAAACATAATACATGTATTATAGTAATTATTATTCATGTACATATACCATAGGGTGCCTTTTTTCGAGGGCTGTAAACTTTGTGGCTTTCACAAATTATTAAAAGATTCGCGAAAAATACTTCTGCGAAAATCAAATTAATACGGTACAAGATGGCAGATGGCATAAATTTGCGAAATTTAAATCAGCAAAATAAAAATCCACGAAATTTATAGCCCTCAAAAAAAGGCACTCTACAGTACATGTACAGTATTAGTATTCTATGCATACATGCATGCATAAGGCTGGATGGTTCACTGTTCACACTTGAACTTAACTTTAATGCATCTAATGTACATGTATAATAGTACATGTACCCATTATGCATAGTAAATAGAGTATTATATAGTACAATAATATTTCCATTCAAGTGTACAGTAGATGCATAGTTCTAACTTCCTTTGTTATAATAATCAGTGACAGAGGATGGTGTACTGTAGTAAGAAGTCTGCCACTGTTTCTTACACTTCCTTTCTATGTTTAAACACACTTTCCTAATTAACTTAGCCAGCTGTCTCTCTGTCTCTATCTCTCTAATCTTTTATCCTTTTATCAATCCATTGTGATACATTACCTTCACACACTCTCTCTCTTTCTCTAGCCTCACTAACATAATAAGAATCAAATTAAGGCTACGTTTACACACTTTGCAACGCAAAACGCATCGTTTTTAAAGTATCCACTTTGAACACCGTTTTCGTTTCCATAGAGTTCTATTAAGATTCTATCATGTTTTCATTCATTTCTGTGTAAACAGAAGCATAAAACAGAAACTATACGGATTGCATAGTTTTTGTTGCTGTGTAAACGTGACCTAAAGGAACATTCATAATTATGATACAACATTATTAAAGAAAGACAGACTATACTGTACTACTAGCATCTACAAGTAGACACTGTTCATTATACTAGCTAGTAGGAGCATTAATGATTCCAGTACATGATGTGCCATTAAATGAGTCCAATGATTCAGTCACTAGCTGCAGTGGTAGCACAAATATCCAGGCCAATGTCTATACATTACAGTGTACATGTACATGCATATTGCAATTAATTAGGTAAGTACATGTACATGCTGGTATGGCTTATCCTGCTAAATTCATGCATTTTAAGCTGTTTAGACTTTTCAACATTCTGTTTAAATTTTCATGCGTTTTATAATTTAATTCAATCATAAATATCACAATTTTAAATTAAAACACGTATTATGATGTAAACTGTAAAATAGGGTTCTCTCAATCTCTCTGGTATACAGTACCTGTGAAGCTGTTGCTCTAGCATATAATGGTAACTGTGATTGGTAGGTCCTGTCAGTGAAGTCATCAGGAGTACACTTGGCAGGTAAATACTTCAATCTTTAAGAGAAGCAGAGAGAGAGAGAGAGAGAGAGGGAGAGGGAGGGAGGGAGAGAGAGGGAGGGGGAGAGGGAGAGAGGGAGGGAGAGAGAGAAAGGGAGGGAGAGGAGACAGAAGCAAAGTGAACTTAAAGTGTAACAGTAAACAGTTAAACTAAGTGTACAGTACCAAAAATACATTCACAAATCCACCATCATGCAGATGCTATTTTGATCTTTTATTGACCAAAAATTTGGCCTTTAAGTACATGTCAGTTTTAGGGAAAGTGTCTTACTGCTGTATATACCGGGGTAGTTTTGACCACAGCAGGTACGTGTACATGTATGTTAACATCAGTTTTTGTAGTACATTGTATATAGGGCTAAATGAATCAGTATATTCTTGACACCATATAGCAGGTTTCTTTCGTTTGGCCAAACTTTCGTTTTCTAGAAGGAAATCCAATTTCGTGGGTTTTATTTTCGTCCTTCTGATCTGCAAGAATTAAGCCACACCCAACAACCCCACCCATAACACCCATGTGTGCATGTTTTAGTGTTGATGAACTCCGAATCGAGCTCTCCCACAGCAAATTTCGTGGGTTTAATTTTCATTTTTGGAGCTTGGAGAACGAAAAGAACGAAAGTTTGACCGAACGGAAGAAACTCGCTATACGGTAGTACATAAGTGAACATGTACATGTAATATGTGCCACAAATCCACAATAATAATGATAAAATTAATGGCACTAAATAAATAAGCACTTACTCTTTGAGTGTTAATAAAGTATACAATCTTTCAATCAATAGTTTAGCTCCTGATGGCTTGCAGTGTATAGTGTTATCTATCAGCTCCTTAGGTATATCAAACTTCTCCTTTAGAAACAACTACAGTATTAATGAATAACATAATATTGAGTCACCAAACAACATAAAGTTCATCACCACAAGACAATACAGTATAGTGCTTTAATTTGGTTGATTTTTATTTTGGTAATTGGCGGCTTGCACCAACATTAAAACCATGCCAATCATTAATGTACATTATCAGTAATGCACGTGTATCCAAAAATCGCCAAATTAAAAACAGTCAATTATAATTTTTATAGCAAAATCCCCATAATAAAGTATGTCACAATATGTATGCCAATCCAAAAAGTTTTAGAAAGTATATCATAGATTCATAGAAAAATATAAAATGTATGAAGGCTCCAGCCTTCATACATGTACGTATACATGCATACATGTTATCTGTACACATGTACATGTGTACAGATAAAGAAATTTGCAACTGGAAATGGTAAGTCACTTTCTAATCATAAAGCCACACCCACTAATTAAATCTCTAACACTGCACCATCATACGTACATGTACATGAAAACAATTGATTCTTTGCTTTGCTTACTCTTTCCAGTTGCTCCCAGTTTCCTTGTCTGGCAGTTAATGAGGTCCCGTTACTGAACGAGTGCATCTGAAGATCATGTGGATAGTACCAGGCCAGTATTTCAGCCACCAAGTAGCCATTGGAAAAATCCCTGGGAAGAGAAAGAAAGATCAATAAATTGATCAGACTCCAATACCTTTTGACGTTCTTGATCGGGTGGCTGAGGTCTAGACTCTGCAGCCATTTTATAACTTCTCTTGGTAATCCACTCATCGTGTTTTGTTTTGCTGCCAATTGTTGCTATGGATACTAGCTCCGCCCAGTCCTTTTTAATTATTGATTTTAACTTTAAGCCTGGCCCATGTCATGATAATAATGAAACATTTGAAAAGAGCTATAATTGTGAAAAATATGCTGTGGAACCAAATTCAATTTAAAGTTAGCTGCTTTCATAATATTTTTATGTATTTCAGACTCTATTCTTTATTCTTTTTTCATTAGCATCAGCTATTGTTAAAAATCACTGAGTTACTAAAAAAATTATTGCATTATTGATATTTTTATGATACATGATCATGATGTATATGCATTTATTTATTTTACATAAAAGTTTGAGCTGATTTTGATCTAAATTGGATTTTTTATGAATTTTTAAAGTTTCTCAAAAATTGGGCCAAAGTCTCTGTACTATTAGTAACGCGGTAGCGTTACTAAGTAGGATTCACCCCCAAACAAAATGGCTGCCACGACTTTTGCAGCCTTGCTATACCGGGAAAACGAGCTCCTATGCTTACCAGACTTCTTAGAGGACCTTATCTTGACCAGAGGACTCCATTGGTACCCATAGCGTGGCTCTAGGCCCTGTCTAAGAGAAAAGCCAAAAATCGGCGAACCGGCCGTTTTGTTCAGCCACCTTTTTTCATCTTCATCATCATCATCATCAAGAAGTCCTGTCAATCCAGTTGTCGGTGTGTATATCAGTATCAGTTAGTGCTACAAGGATAATTCTTACACCAATCTACTCCAACAGTCTATGCGCAGGTCCATGTCCCATCAGATCATTCTTCAAGTAAGGAAAAAGTGGTACTGTGGCTGCTGGATCGAGCCATCTTAGCTGCATGCCGCCATTTTGTTAATTAAAGAAGCTTGCCATGTGCTCCAAAATTTGGGTGTGGTCGCGCATGCTCAGATCTGCAGCTCTGGAAGAAACAATTTATTTTTTACCAAGCTATGCTTGCTACTGCAATACTTTAGTGGAGGTTTCCAGCTAAAAGAAGGTATTGATTTTACATGTTACTGTTTTATCAAGTGTGTGATTTTATTTTATTTAAAAAAACAAACAATTAATTAATGTATGATATGCAATGATAATATGAATGACAACAGCCTGGAAGAACAGGAATAGCTGCATTCTGCTGCAACATTGCAGGGAAGAATGGAAGATGGACACTCTCAGCTCACAGCTTCTTGAACAAGGAC